ATTCACAAATACTTGCTGTCCCTGCTCCTGACGTCAGGATTGGCCTTGTGAACTGCTTTCAGTAGAAGCATTAGGGACTGTATGCTTTTTGCTCTGAGCCACAACCATCCACAGTGTTTTAGAAAGAAGATGCTCTGTTCAGGATGCTGGAGATGAAATGGGTATAAAAAGTAGAGACAGAGCTTGACTTCTCTACCTTTTGCCAACATGTACTATGAGTGAGAAATAACCCTGTGGCTGTCATCAAGGAAGACCTGTGGATGGATGGCTTCCACAGCAAGCCTCACCTAGACAAAGAGAGTACTTCAGCCCTGACAGCCAGACATCCTTCAAGATATGGTCATGTGACTTTTATCGGTCAATAATCTGGGGGGTCAATAATGTATATGGTGCCTGGAAAAAGCGTTCAAAGCCAGCACAAATTCAGAGTGTTGTCTTTCCCCCATCAAGCTGATCAAGGTGATTCTGGAAGCAAGCAAGCAAGATGAAACCATCACCAAACTAGGTAACCCTTCTGACCCTGAACATGTAGAAAGAGCAAGAAGTAAAGGTTCCCCATAGGTCATTGTTTAGGATTGTCACAGCAGCACAACCTCACTTGTCCTGATTGATTTAAAATATGACAAGGTGGTAATAAAACCAGTAAGCACAAAAATAACTGAACATTTGGACTGGGCAAGAGCTAAGAACACAAATTTAAAGGCTAGTGGTCTATCTGGTAAACCTATCACATTCATAGTTTAGGAGGCAGATCATGAACCTATAACATTTTCTCCCTGGAGGAGGGAACTAAGCAATGCCTACCCCTCCTCCTAATGTCCCCCACCAATAAACAAAGTTCAATTCCACCAAAGTTCACCCTGGGGAACCAGGAGTTTATTTGGCTTACTTATAAAGCATGGATGAAGGGTTACAGCAGGAGCACGGGTGATGCTAAAGCAACCAAGCTGGAAGGTCTGCACCCAGTATGGATGATGGTTACCCCACAGCTACACAGATACAGCCCCTTTCCCCTAGTCTTCTCCAGTCTGTATACTCTAGCCACTCCCTGAGATTCCAAGGCCACCAGCCATTAGAGCAGAACTGCATACAACTGAATAGGATAAGTGGCTGGATACTTGGGTGAGGGTCCAATGCCCCTCCCTACTTCCTCCTTCTAGGGGGAATGTCACCAGCCCACATGATAATCTTTTCCAGCTGATCTCATGAAGACAGTAGCAGTCTGGCCCTAAGGATAGCACCTTCCAACAGTAGCTAATAAGAGAAGGCAAGAAATTCTTTATAAAGCAGGTTAGGAACATCTGTAGGTGGCTGCAAAATGAACTCTGAGAGATCTAACCACTTTGGAGACAGGAACCAAAGGGACTTTTTTTTAAAAAACAGACAAATCACAAATAAATTCAGGGGTTTGCAGGGTAAACAGAGACAATTACAATAAAACAAAATCAAACAAGGGCCTAGAGAAGTCAGTCTGGGTCAAGTCAAGGGATAACCTACTGTTAAAAACCTCGGGATCTATAGGACATAACAGTGAGCACTCTGATCCCAGTGCTTAGAAGGATGAGGCAGGAGCATTGCCTTGACTTCAAGGCCAGCCTGGGCTATATAGCAAAACCCGTCTCAAATTAAGAAGACCAAAAGAAAACAAAGCCCTTGGGACACATTGCAATGTTACCTACTGTGTGCTTTCTGCTTTGAAGAAGAAAACGTACAACATCCCTACCATCTAACACTAATATACTCAAAACCAAGCTGAAAGCAAGAGGCTAAAGTGACTGACCCAGCAGGAGGCAGAAGAAAGTAAAGTAACTGGGCAAACCACTGAAGCACGGCCAGTAAAGAAAGACCTGTAGCTGTAGATACTGGCACATGGCACAAGTGGCATCAAACAAGTAAGAAATTACACTTGGGTACTGCCCAAAGAACACCAGCCCAGATTACAAGAGACAATCGTCAAAACTTAAAACTATAGACCCCTCACATTTTTAAAAGCTTGTGTAAGAGCACATTTTCTAAGGTCTGTGTTAAGCATTAAGCCTTCAGAAGACTCTGAGGGTAGATTCAAGGTCATGGGAAATGACTGACAGGGCAGCCACAGAAGCAGAACCAGGACTTGACTCTAGAACTGGGTGTGGAGAGGTCCTCAAAGTGTCTGCTCACGAGACCAGCATCTACTGCAGCCTTTGTTCCATTCCTTTCCAAGCAGAGACCTTGTCTCTGCCCCATCAAGCAGATAGAAGGATGTGCAGGGTAGCTAGTTTTCCCTCAGATAGAGACAAATATGGGCCTGATGTGGTCTCTATACACTGCCTCTCAAAGCTTGGACAGGAGCTTCAAGCTGTGACTGGAGGGTCTTTGAGGCTGACTTCCCTGTGGAAAGAGAGCAGGAAGGAGTTCAGTCAGGACATGGCCATGTGACCCACTTTGGCCAGTAACATGGGAAAGTGAAGTATGCCACTTCCAGGGAAACACACTAGGAGTCAGCCTATGATTTGCTGAGTTCTCTCCCCTCAGTCAAACCGTGGTGAAAAGTGACTGGGAGCACCCACAACGGGAAAGTAATGGGATCAAGAAACAACCATCCAGTGGCTTCAACGGAGATGTTACTCTTTAAGGTGGCATAGCCTAACCCTTCCCAGCTGAGCTGCAACAAATGAGGCTGAAGAGAGGAGCAGCTGGACTGTAAAAAAATCCCTTCTCCCAGGCAAAGCCACCAGTGATGGCTTCCAAGCTGTGGCGTTATTGACACATGTATCTGTTATGCTTGGGATGAAATATGCTATTTCTTAACTCAAGGAGAATATCCCGCACAAGGTAGAGGAGCACCCTTAGGCAAATGATATGTATTTACACAATGTCTTGCTTCTGGAAGCTTCTAAATACAGGAAAGGAACAACAAAACCACATCTATGCTACCAGCACCACTTCCTAAGCAGATACTAATACAAGAAAGTTTGCCCCAAAGAAGAAAATATAAAGGAATGTAACACAGACCTGAGGTCAATTTCCAGCTGTCTGTGTGCCCCAAGGAAGACACATGGACCTTCTGAAGCTATTTTCTCCAGTGTGACGGCTGGATAATCATGCATGCCTCTCAAGATCGTTGGGGGGGAGGGACATATTTAAATTGTTGGGAATAGTGGCAGATAGTGGGTGTTTAATAAACAAAACTTATTACTGTTACCATAAATCATTTAGAATGTCGGTTCCGATTCCCACTCAGAAATTCAGGTTGGAGACAGAGGAGCATATTCCCTATTGGGGGCAAGTAAATGGATCTGGTCTTCACTGAATCCATGCCCTGCCCCCACCCCAGCTCAGGGACCTGGCTGGCAGCAGTCTGATGAAAGCGAAGTGAGCGCCTGCCCGCCAAGAGTGAAGAAAACCTGGCCGGGTTCCCACTGATACCAGCTGCTGTTGGTTTCTGAACACTCAAAGTCAAAATACCTTAAGGCTCCAAGGTACAAACCAAAGGCTGAATTCCCCCAAGTTCTGGGGCAACAAAGTCTGAATTAGAACTTAGGAGTGAATGTAAGGTCCAACGTCAAACCCCAAGTCCTAGATAGAAAGGCTTGGCACAGAGGTGACTTCTAGACCTTTCTTCCCTCAACTCTGCAGAGGGACAGGGAGGGGGCTGCCTGGTGACCAACTCCTAGTCCCGGGGTCAAGGGCTACACCGACGCCTGGCGGTCCGGAGCAGTGGACCTCACCGGCTCCGCTTGCAGATGAGGCCAAACAAGCTCAAAGTTCCGCGGTTTGCTCATTTATGCTAAGAAAGAAACAGGATTCTCGACTTCAGCTTTCCAGCCACCACTTTTGTCCCTAAGGGGTGGGGGACGGATAACAGAACCGCAGGAGAGAAGCCACTTACATGCGTCTAGCGCTTCCTAGAGGCTGCACAAAATATGCGCCCACCAGGGCGGGGAGGGGACAGATGTTAAGCCAGCTTCCAACGCCAGACTCGCACCGGCTGCGTGACTTTCGGGCTAGTCGGCTGCTCTGGGGACTTGTTTTCCCGGAAGCAAATTCGGGAAGAAGGAAGGGAGGTATCGAGCTGAGCGTGGAAAGGAGCGAGCTGAGCGTGGAAAGGAGTTTCCAAACCCTAAATGCTGGTTCTAAATCTCACTTCGCTTTTAGAAAAGCTCGCCCCTCCAAAGCGGAACGACCCCAGGCACCGTTTCCCCTCGTGGCCCCAGGGAGGTGAAGTGAGGTGCAGGAGGCGCAGAGGAACCCCAGTTTCGAGCAATGCAAATCGCTCGGCTTTCGGGGACAGCCACCCGGCCGCGCACAGCTTCGCTCCTGAACTTGACCTAGAGACTAAACTTTGGCGCGTTCTCAACGTGGGAGGCCCACTCTCTCTAGACCGCTCCCAAACTTCAGCCCACTTTCACTCGCCCGCACTGGGGAACCTCACCAAGCCACCTTAATGGGCGGGGCTCCGGCCTCCCGGAAGTGCGGGGGTGGGCTGCGGACCCGCTCCAGCCCCACCAAGGTTGCCGGACCCGCACGTGGGGTCCTACCCCGCTTCCCACCCGGGCCCCTGGGGCGACCCCCAAGATTTCCGGATCCCCACGTCCCCGTCCCCAGCTCTGAACTTGAGCCCGCCTCCGACAGACGCCGCAAGGGCCAGGCGCCCCAGTAGCCTCCGTCACTAGCCAGCCAGCCAAACCCCAAGACGTCAGCCCACAATGCACCGGGCGGGCCGGGACCGACGCGCCGGGGAGGGACCAGGGAACCAGGGCCGGGAGGCGCACGGGGGGAAGGGGAGGAGAAAGAAGGGCCCAACAGTAGGAGGGCAGCGGAGCATTACCTCATCCCGTGAGCCTCCGCGGGCGCGGAGAAGAATCTTCTAGGGTGGGGTCTCCATGGCGACGGGCGGGCCCGCCCCCCTGAGAGCGACGCGAGCCAATGGGAAGGCCTTGGGGTGACATCATGGGCTATTTTTAGGGGTTGACTGGTAGCAGATAAGTGTTGAGCTCCGCTGGATAAGGGCTCAGAGTTGCACTGAGTGTGGCAGAGGCGGCGGGGCGGGAACGCTCTCAGGGAGACGGACAGACGGACAGACAGAAGGACGGACCCGGCCGGCCAGGACGGCAGCGGACTCGGGGCTGCTAGTGTATTCGTCTTCCCATCTTCTTACCGACTGCCTGGCGCCCGCGCTGGAGACTCCCGCGCTGGTGTTTTGGGGAGCACCTGGAGAGCCCCTTCTCCCGCCGCCTCCCGGAGGAGAACCTCGGCAGTCCGAGCGCTGCTGACACTACGGAGAGCGGCGCTTACCCACGCGGGGACACCGGCGAGCTCCTGCATCGCCCAGCAACTTTCCCGGCCAGGAGGACCGGGAACAAGTGGCCCGGAGCGAACTTTTGCAAACCTTTTCTGCACCGTCGGCTGCCGCGGCGGCGGCGGTGAAAAAAAGGCAGCGGAGACAGAGGAGGAACCTGCTCTCAGCCGCGCTCGCACCGGCGGCTGAACTTGGCCAAGCGCTCCCCGCGGCCGTGCGTCCCCCTCCCCCTCGCAGCGGAGGAGGGGAAAGTCGTGTGAGTCGCAGCGGAGCCCGATCGCGGGCTCCCACCAAGAACTGTGCAGAGTGCTCCGCTCCTCCCGAGAGCCGCTGTCGCCGGGGCCCCGAGGAAGCGCTGCGCTCCGGGAGCGCGCCGTGAGTGACCTCGACTCTCCGAAGCCGGGCAGACGGGGAACGGACCTGAAGGGGGTGCCGGAGGCGTCTCATCTCTGTGCTCCCGGGAGCTAGCTGGGGAGGAGGGCGGCGCGGAAGAACAGCCGGGAGCGCGCGCTCCAACAGAAACTTTCCTTGCCAAAAGCGGCGACGCGCGGGTGTTCCACGCTTCCCAGCGCACTGTTGCGGCCCCGAAACTTGAGCGTGCAGCCCAGGCTAACCCCTCGTGAAGTGACGGGCTGTTCTATGACTGCAAAGATGGAAACGACCTTCTACGACGATGCCCTCAACGCCTCGTTTCTCCAGTCCGAGAGCGGCGCCTACGGCTACAGTAACCCCAAGATCCTGAAGCAGAGCATGACCCTGAACCTGGCCGACCCGGTGGGCAGTCTGAAGCCGCACCTCCGCGCCAAGAACTCGGACCTCCTCACCTCGCCCGACGTGGGGCTGCTCAAGCTGGCGTCGCCCGAGCTGGAGCGCCTGATCATCCAGTCCAGTAACGGGCACATCACCACCACGCCGACCCCCACCCAGTTCCTGTGCCCCAAGAACGTGACCGACGAGCAGGAGGGCTTCGCCGAGGGCTTCGTGCGTGCCCTGGCCGAACTGCACAGCCAGAACACGCTGCCCAGCGTCACGTCGGCGGCACAGCCGGTCAGCGGGGCGGGCATGGTGGCCCCCGCGGTGGCCTCGGTGGCGGGCGGCGGCAGCAGCAGCGGCTTCAGCGCCAGCCTGCACAGCGAGCCTCCGGTCTACGCCAACCTCAGCAACTTCAACCCCGGCGCGCTGAGCAGCGGTGGCGGGGCGCCCTCCTACAGCGCGGCCGGCCTGGCCTTTCCCGCGCAGCCCCAGCAGCAGCCGCCGCCGCAGCCGCCGCACCACCTGCCCCAGCAGATCCCGGTACAGCACCCGCGGCTGCAAGCCCTGAAGGAAGAGCCCCAGACGGTGCCTGAGATGCCCGGAGAGACGCCGCCCCTGTCCCCTATCGACATGGAATCGCAAGAGCGGATCAAAGCGGAGAGGAAGCGCATGAGGAACCGCATCGCTGCCTCCAAGTGCCGGAAAAGGAAGCTGGAGAGGATCGCCCGGCTGGAGGAAAAAGTGAAAACCTTGAAAGCGCAAAACTCGGAGCTGGCGTCTACAGCCAACATGCTCAGGGAACAGGTGGCACAGCTTAAACAGAAAGTCATGAACCACGTTAACAGTGGGTGCCAACTCATGCTAACGCAGCAGTTGCAAACGTTTTGAGAAGAGACTGTCAGGGCTGAGGGGAACGGAGGAAAAAAAAAAAAAAACACCACAGAGACAGACTTGAGAATTTGACAGGTTGCAACGGAGAGAAAAAAGAAGTGTCCGAGGACTGAAGCCAAGGGTATACACGTTGGACTGGGTTGCGTCCTGACGGCGCCCCCAGTGTGCACGAGTGGGAAGGACTTGGCGCGCCTTACCTTGGCGTAGAGCCAGGAAGCGGCGGCCTGTGGGCTGCCCGGCTTTTCGAACGGGCTGTCCCCGCGCAAACAGAACATAGACTTTTCGTTAACATTGACCAAGAACTGCATGGACCTAACATTCGATCTTATTCAGTATTAAAGGGGGGGGGCGGGAGGGTTACAAACTGCAATAGAGACTGTAGATTGCTTCTGTAGTACTCCTTAAGAACACAAAGGGGGGAGGGTTAGGGAGGGGAGGGAGGCTTGTAAGGGCGAGGCCGAGCCTGCAGATGAACTCCTGGCCTGCCTCCCTCAACTGTGTATGTACATATATATATTTTTTAATTTGATGAAAGCTGATTACTGTCAATAAACAGCTCCCTGCCTTTGTAAGTTATTTCATGTTTGTTTGTTTGGGTATCTTACCCAGTGTTTGTAAATAAGAGATTTGGAGCACTCTGAGTTTACCATTTGTAATAAAGTATATAATTTTTTTATGTTTTGTTTCTGAAAATTCCAGAAAGGATATTTAAGAAAATACAATAAACTGTTGAAAAGTACCCCCAACCTCTTTGCTGCATTATCTATAGATAATGATACCTAGATTGTCAGATTCACTGGTAGGAAATCTGTGTTCTCAGATTATTGAAATAAATGCCCCTGATGCTATCATCAGGTCATACTCTCTTCCCCTACAAGTCCAGACTGTTTACCAAGAGATAGTGTGATGTTTCCTGGGACTGGAAGAAGTGAGCAGTTCAGGGGGGAGGAGCAGCCCACTAAAGTAGATACTTCATTCACTTTGGAACTGTATTAAGGGACATGTGCTGTGACCATGTATAATCTTAGTAAAAGACTTAGCAATAGATGCTTATTCTCAAAAAGGAACCAATGGTAGATTTTACAAGAGATGTTTCCTTCCAGTTTGGAATGTAGCAACTCACAGAAAAAAAAAAGATGGCCTTTGCTTATAACAGCATTCTTGTCACAATAAATATACTCAAATACCAGTAACAAATCTTGAATTCTGCTCCCTTTACTACTTGTTTTTCTTCCTGAGCTATTTGCTGAAGATTTTCTTTTTAAATTTCTGGGTTAGCATCACTGAACTGTGAACTTAGTAATTAGGAAGCGAAGAATTTAGGAAGAGTCAGACTAGAAGTTGTGACGTGGGTGAAGCATTCTTCCAACCTGCCTCTTCATCTCTCTTTTCTTCCCCCCTTTCCTTGCTGCCTCTTTTTCTGCTCTCTTAACTGCCCCCAACACCAAGGAACTTAGCAGTATAACAGATCCATATTTATTTCTTGATTATTAATTATAGAATCAGTCTGGAAAGATGCTAATATAAATAATATGGGAAAGACAAGAGAAACATCAGCACTGGCCCTGATTGCACACCTGTAATCCAAACCTCAGCTCAGGGGAGGCAGAAAACTTAAATTGTGTCTACAGATATAACTGAGATCAACAAGTTCTTATTCAACAAGGGAACAATTTTTCCTTGGTTGCTTTTCATCCCATGAGCTGCTGTGATTATCAAGCACCAAACACAATTGGATATCCAGGAACATTTCATAAACCACTAATTGAGGCAGGCCTGCTTGGTCATTAGCAGTGCTCCAGTGCCCAACAGGTCTAGGAGCGCTAATATCCTTCCTGCCTGTGGCTGTAAATTCAGATAGAGTTTCTCAGGAGTACATCTAGGCCTGCAAAGGACTGGACGGGCTTGTTAGGTATCAGACATACTCTGTTGTAATAACACTTCTTGAACAAAGAGTTACTGGGATCTCAGACGTGTTTGCCAAACAGTGAATTTGCCTATGTCAGCAACCTGGAAGGTGAGCTGGTTTTGACCATATGTAGGAATAGTCAGCAAAGGGACAATAAAGCACTTTGGGGTGGGGCTCTGTTGAAGCTAAACAAGAGCCAACTAGAAAAAAAAAAAATAAGCAGGCTGGGGAATTAATAATCTGCAAAGGTAGACTAAGCCGAGACAAGAGCACAGTACAGAAAGCCACACCACTCCTCAGTTTGCCAAAAAAAGAAAAGAAAAAAATAGGACCTTCAGGCTTATTCCCAAACTCGATCCTTTTAGCTAACATTTTAAAGGTACGTTCCTGAAATTCTAACCATTCTAACCTAAAGGGGTAGAAAAAAATAAGGGCAATAGAAGAACTTCAACAATGATAGTCTATAAACTTTGAAAGCAGAAAATCAGATAATAGTGCAGATACACTCAATGATTAGTTCTATTATGGACTTTCAGTGAGTTATTTCATTGGGTAATACTCAGAGGATGAAGGTAATGAAATAAAGTTGTTAATCCTCATAAATATATGTGCATATAAAACAGTTGTGCATTCTTAACTCTTCATTGGGACAGAGGGCTCATGAAATCAATAGAAATGTTTACAGAGAAACATCATTAGCTTTTATTTCACCTTCCCAGAGTTCTGTAACTCAGAACGGGGAAAAAAGGTATAAACCGCATGCTACGTGCTCCCCATCAGAAGCGTCTTTGTCTAGATCTGCATCTTGTGCCCTTCTACCCTCCCAAGCTTCTGCTTGCATCATTTTGCTCTTCTATCTGGCCAGACTACCTTTCATTCTGGTTCAAATGATCACTCCCACCTGTCCTTCAAGGTTTACTTGGTGTCTTTGTTAGTCTTGTCAACTTGACACAGCCTAGAGTCATCTGAGAAGAGCCTTAATTGAGGAATTTCCTAGTTCTGATTGGCCTAAGAGTATGGGAGGGATGGAGGGTGTCTTGATTGTCATTTGCTATAGGAGAGAACAGCCCACTGTGGGTGGCACCTTTTCTAGGCAGGTGGTTGATCCTGGGGTGTATAAGAAAGCTAGCCAAGGGGGCTGGAATGACAGCTCATGGTTAGAGCACTTGTAGAGGACCCAGGTTACCAAACAGCAAACAGCATTCCTTCATGGTTTCTGCTTCAGTTCCTGTCCTGACCTCCATCAATGATGGATTGGGACCTGGAAGTTTAAGCTGAAATACACACTTTCCTCCCCTAAGTTGTTCTTGATCAGAGAGTTTATCACAGCAACAGAAAAAGTAACTAGAACTCTACTTGGCATAAGAGGTGCCTGCTCTATAAAGCTTTTCTTGATAGCTCCATGTTCATGTGGCAGGAATAATTCCCCTCTGAGCCTCATTACATTTTATCAAAATTTCTATGGTAACACTTTTCAATTGTGAGCATCTGTGTTCACTTACCTGTGTGTGTCCCAGCCAGAACTCTATTTTGTTAATCAAATGATCCCTGGACTCCTAGTGCAGTGCCTGGCACATAGTGGATGTTCATAAAATAAAATGTTAATGATTGAGTAGACAAGTGAACTTGAATCCTCCTCCAACCTAGTTCTGGGCCTTGATTTCTTCTACAGAAATACACTTCATCCATGTCATAGTTCATATCCCAGATGGATAAAAGACATCCCTCTGCAAAAAGTTAAATCTGTTCTGTAACAAAGTTCTGAAACCTCCTTTTCACAGTGTCCCTTAAAGAAACTTGCTGTTAACTTAGTCATACTTCTAGCCACACAGAGCATCCCTTCCTACCTTCACTAGTGCACATGGGCATCCTCTTATATACAATGAGTCTGCCTGCAACGTTATGCTCGGCACTAGAGGTTGGGAAGGATCAAGGACACAGAAGCCATAGTTCAAGGTGTGACTTTCCTAAAAGCAACTAACTTCATTAGTAATAACAAAGGAGACTTTCTAAAGTTAAATGAGTTGCTGGGGTATATAAGTCAGTTCTCAATGTTTGCTTGCTGAGACAGGGATTGTGCTGATCATGTTCTTTGTTGTTAAGGAAGAATCAGATTGATTGAACAGAGGGAAAAAGGCAATGCCTTCCCATCCTCCCTGTCCCTTGCTTCTACCGCCCACTTTTTGTGAGTCAATTAGTCTCAAAAGCCTACAGAAGTAAAAATACTCCTTCCTACCTCTGATGGAAAACACACACCTATTTAGCTTTGGACTTTTGGGCATCCCAAAATAAGGCATTCCCTTGAGTCTGGGTCTCCTTCCGGTCATACCAGCCTATGGAGTGCAAAGACCAGTAGACTATGATCTTTATTATCAAGGAACTCACTCTGGAGAGGGGGGAAGGAAGAAAGAAAGCAGAGACTATTCCTGTGGCCTGAGACACAAGCTATAAGAAAGAACTGAGGGGAAAAGAACCCATTCTAAGACAATATTTCACAGGAGTGACATTTAAGCAGAGCCAGTGGGACCCACCCAGCAGATCAATGTGGATGTAAAACATGGTAGCAACATGAGAAAGTGCCATGTGTTAAGGGACTTGGGAGCTGTTTGAAGAGGCTGGAAAGGAAAGTTTGCAAAGGAAAGCAGGGGGGATGAAACAAAGGAGTAAATTATGGCTCAGCTTGTACAATGGCACCTATTCCACATTATTGTACAGGTGATGGAGAAATGCAGAGGGATTTGAAGCAGAACATGGCACAGTCAATGTTGGAAAGAGTCACACTGCAATGATATATTGGATGGGGAGGAGGCTAAGTACAGAAAATAATAAAAAGAGGTTTGAGTTTAATTTTGAATGTCTGTGCTGTTTAAGGCAGTCCAAGAGTTGGGGGAGAAGTAGGAAGAAGATGGCTTGGTGTAAGCTATATCACACACATTTCTCGTTCTTTAATCATGACACCCATTAGACCTAGAGAGGGCTATCAAGAAGCTCTTTGCAGCTGTTGCTTTCCCCACACTTGTTTTCCTCTGTCCTATGTCAATTCAACATCTTGAAAAGACAGTTTTCTTACAAAACGTTCTGGTGTCAGGAAGCTCAAATAGACATAAAAGAACAGAGCGGTAGTACCTAGGCCAGGTCACCAGGGTGAGAGCTCCGAGTGAGTCCTCAGAGCTGCAAAACACAAGCCTGACTGTCTAGTCACCTAGAACTGATCAAACTCAGTGAGATTAACTGACCCAAAACTAAACAAACTCTCTGATATATTAGCAAAGAGGCCAACACTTTATGTTGCACAAACTGAATACCTTACCGTCATTCCCATAACACTCATTTTCTTCAACAAGAAATATTGCATGCCTATTCTGTGTGAGGCATGGAAAGCAGTAGAGGGGGAAATTGAAGGAGGCCTGTTTAGGGAGTTTAGAATCTAGGAAGGAAATCATAAAGAAGAAAGCAGGCAAGTTTGACTACACATTGACCAATTCAGTGAAGAATTGGATACTAGCACAGAGAAAGACGATCTAAATTGGGTGGAGAGCAAAGAGGGCCTCCAAGAATACATAGGTGAGCTAAGGATTTTTAGATAACTAAGAGCGGAACAGGTAGAAAGCAGGACAGTGGGGTTAGACAAGTCCAGACTAGAGGTCCGGCTTGATGGTGAGCTATGGAAGACTTCAGTGCTCTGTAGGACTGTGACAGAGTATGGGTCTGGAGTGGGGTAAGCAGAGGGGAGATTGGAGAAATTAAGTGAGATTTATACTCAGTAA